GGGAGCCTGCTTCTCCCTCTGACCCTCGCCCCTCTCATGCTGTTTCTCTCTCGCTCGCTCTCTAAAAAATAAATAAAATCTTTAAAAAAAAAAAAAATACATGAAGCAAAACTGATTAAATTGCAAGGAGATACAAAGTCATAATTATCCCTCTTTCGATAATTGATAGAATAAACAGAAAATTTGTAAAGATAGAGAAAACCATAACAATGCTGCCAACCAACCGGACCTAACTGACATTTCTTAACATTCCATCCAAAAATAGCAGAATATACATTCTTTTCAAGTGCACATGGAACATTTACCAAGACAGATCATAATCTGGGCCATAAAACAGGTATGTTCTCCAATCACAGCATAATTTCATTAGAAATCAACTAGAGAAAAATACTTGAAAAATTTATAAATACATGGAAACTAAATAGCACTCTTCTAAATAACCCATAGGTCAAAGAAATTAAAAGGGAAATTAGAAAATAGTTTGAATTGAATGACAATAAAAATATGACATATCACAGGACACCTGGGTGGCTCAGTAGATTAAGCATCTGCCTTTGGCTCAGGTCATGATCCCGGGTCCTGGGATCAAGTCCCACATCCAGCTCCTTGCTCAGAAGGGAGCCTGCTTCTCCCTCTGCCTGCTGCTCCCCCTGCTTGTGCACTCTCTCTCTCTCTGACAAATAAATAAATAAAATCCTTTAAAAAAAAATACAACATATCAAAATTTGTAGGATGCAATGAAAAAGTGCTTAGTGTTAATATAACCATTTACATTAGAAAAACAAAAAGTTCAAAATCAATAACTTAAGCTTCTACCTTAATAAACTAGAAAGAGAAGAGCATATTAAACCCAAGATAAACAGAATAAAGGAAATAATAAAAATAAGAGTATAAATCAATGAAATAGAAAAAATTAAAATAGTAGAGGTAACCAAAAGCAAGTTCTTTGAGAAGATCAATAAAACTGATAAAATTCTAGTCATATTGATTTGGAAAAAAAAGAGAAAACAAGTTATCAATATTAAGCACAAAAGAGGAGACATCACTACAGATCCTCCAGATAGGAAAAGGAAGAGAAGGAAATATTATGAATAACTTTAAGACAATAAATTTGAAGACTTAGCCAAAATGAACAAATTGCTTAAAAGATGTAAACTACCAAAGCTTAACAACCCCCTCCCAAAATAACCAGAATAGCCTTCTATCTATTAAAGAAATTGAATTTGTAGTTAAAAAATCTTCCCATAAAGAAAACTCCAGGTCCAGAAGTATTCACTGGTGAATTCTACCAAATATTTAAAGATAAAACAGTGCCAATTCTATACAAGTTCTTTCATAAAATAGAAAAGGAGGGAACACTTCCTAACTCATTCTGTAAGGCCAAAATCACCTGATCCCAATACCAGAGGAAAACATTACAAGAAAAGAAAAGTAGGGAGCAATATCGCTGATGAGCACAGATGTGAAAACCCTTAACAAAATGTTAGCAATATACTAAAAGGATAATATATCAGCAATGTATTAAATCTAGCAATATATTAAAAGGGTAATAATGTGAAGTTTATTTATTTTTTTTTTTTTTAAATTTTTTTTTTTAAAGATTTTATTTATTTATTTGACAGAGAAAGACACAGCGAGAGAGGGAACACAAGCAGGGGGAGTGGGAGAGGGAGAAGCAGGCTTCCCGCCGAGCAGGGAGCCCGATGCGGGACTCGATCCCGGGACCCTGGGATCATGACCTGAGCTGAAGGCAGTCGCTTAACCAACTGAGCCACCCAGGCGCCCTAATGTGAAGTTTATTAATATAACTATTATAAAAATAGCAGCCAAGCTATCCAAGTTGGAAATTCCCAACTTTCCTAAATAAATATATGAGAAAAAGAATCTTTTTCTTCTAAAATAATAGCCATCAATCAAGCTCTCAAGTCTCAAATGTTAGCTATGTTCTGTTGCCCTTGATTGCCCTAAGGTGCTGTAAGTACTGATGTCTAAGATGGTATAACCTGGAGCCCTCTACTGAACAAGGTTTCCTTAGGTCACAGAGTGCTACAAATGCTCACTTGTGGTTTAGCCCACTGGGTATGGGATTCAGGACAGCTGGGCAAAGAGATGTCCAAGGTTGCAGCATAAATATGGTAAGGAAATATTCTGTTTTCCAGAAGCTTTTGAGAAAAGCTCTTTCTGCCTAAGTAGGTTGAGACAACTTTGTAATAAAAAAATAAACAGTGTTCACTCTTGAGTAGACTGCCTTTCTTCCTTAGGTCACATAGCTGACTTCAGGGAAGGAAAATCTGGAGGCCATAACTCCCGCCTTTCCTCGGTTGCCAACTTCATTAAATGGGGCTTCTAGTGAGGTCTTTGGGGCCCCTTTGTGGGCTCATATACAACTGTCTGCCATGCCATTTTTGTGATTTCAGGCCTTCCCTTAAGATCACATACCAAGACCAAAGTGGGTCACTGCTTCCCTCTCAGAGCTGAAAACTTCGCTTGGCCCTGTTAATAAATTGCAATTAAATCACTGTCCCTATAATTTAACCCGAGCACCTAGTTTTAGAAGGTGAACAAATAAAACCTGTTTTCTACTCACCATGTTAAAATTTGAGTGAATTCCAACAAGCCATTTTCTCCTTCTTTTCCTTTTCTGTCTATGCCATTATCTGCCAAATACAATTTCACTAACCAAGGACCAGCATCAGTCAAATCTTTAATTTTCTTGATTCCTATAAGAAAATAATAGTATTTTATTATTTTTAGATGATAGCTCCCCCATTTACCACCAGCTAAGTTGATTTTATTTTTTAAGATTGTACTTATTTGACTTGCGTGAGTAGATACATTTTGCAATATAGTGAAGGAAATACATACAATTTAAGAAGTCCTTTAAAAAAATACTTTATTCTTGGGGCACCTGGGTGGCTCAGTCGTTAAGCGTCTGCCTTCGGCTCAGGTCATGATCCCAGGGTCCTGGGATCGAGCCCCACATTGGGCTCCCTGCTCCGCGGGAAGCCTGCTTCTCCCTCTCCCACTCCCCCTGCTTGTATTCTCTCTCTCGCTGTGTCTCTCTCTGTCAAATAAATAAATAAAATCTTTAAAAAAAAAATTAAAAAAATACTTTATTCTTTACAATAGCAAGCCTCAAATTGCTCTGTATGAAAGGGAATCTCACTTAAGATTTAGATTGTTGCCTTTACTTTGGCTAAAGAGGAAAATCAGTGTCTTTAGAAATTTCCTGGTAGAGGATAAATGAGTTGTCCACTGACCTTGGGAAAGTGATAGTCTTTATCCAGGGATTCAGCTCTTTAAAAGAGCCTGCAAAGTTGTCACATTTTTTGAGCTCTGGAAGGGCAAATTTGAAGGAGGAAGAACCATCTCGCCTTTGTAGACTTCCCAACTGAGGTCAGTGGCCCCGCAGTCTGATTCACCCCCATTTCATAAAGCTCGGTGTCAGTGCTGTGCCAAGGCATATGTACACATTAAATTTATACCAGTTCAAGTTTAGGAGTTTGGCAAAGAAAAAGACAGGGAGGGGATGGAGACAGACTCAGTAGGTGTGAGATGAGAGATCTGAATCTGGTCCCAAAGCCAGATGGCTTCCCAAAGGCCTCCAAGTATTCGAAGTCATATGCTTTGTGTGCAATATAACCCCCTCAACACTAGCTGACTCCTTCATCTGGAGCTTAACTGACAAACAATGATCCGCTCCCAAGGGGGCAAGAAACCGCACAGGACTTAGAAATCATATACCTATATGTTTATTGTGTGGGCAGTTTAAGGGATTGTGAAGAATCACTGAGCTATACACTAATTTTGCCTAATTGGCTGACTTGAGAACCTAATCCCAAGGGGTAGACAAGACTCTTTTGTACTTGAATTCATTCAGCATTCAACAAATATTTCTGAGCTCTACTATATGCCAGGCACTGTCCGAAGTGCTGGGAACCCAACAGGGAACAAAAGAAACAAAACTACCTGCCCTTCTGAATCTGACATGAAGTGAATGCTAACTAGTGTATACGAAGAGCAAGGAAGAGAGGAGAGTCAATGTTAACCAAGTATAAGTTTTCAAGTCATGGAAGAGAACTGACTTTTCAGGGGAAGGTGATAAATCGGGACTTTGGGCCATTCTAGTTTGCCAGTTTATTTATTTATTTTTTTAAAAAGATTTTTATTTATTTATTTGAGAGCGAGAATGAGAGAGAGAGAGAGAGAGAGAGCATGAGAGGGGGAGGGTCAGAGGGAGAAGCAGACTCCCCGCCGAGCAGGGAGCCCGATGCGGGACTCGATCCCGGGACTCCAGGATCACGACCCGAGCCGAAGGCAGTCGCTTAAGCAACTGAGCCACCCAGGCGCCCCTAGTTTGCCAGTTTAAAAAAAATGGGATGCCTGGGTGGCTCAGTCATTAAGCATCTACCCAGGGTCCTGGGATTGAGCCCCGCATCGGGCTCCCTGCTCAGCGGGAAGCCTGCTTCTCCCTCTCCCACTCCCCTTGTTTGTGTTCCCTCTCTCGCTGTGTCTCTCTCTGTCAAATAAGATAAATAAAATCTTTAAGAAAAAAAAAGCGTGCTTTAAAAAGAGATTCAATCGGCTTCTTTGGTTACAAATGTAATCTGCTGGATTGTTGAATAAAATAGACAGGATTTATTTTCCTTCAAAACACAGTTGGAGGGATGAATCCCAGCCCATCATTTAGTTTCATTGGGAACAAACCTAACTTGTCCAAATGTATTGGTTCTTACATCCAGGGCATGGGAATGATGGCAAATGACAGCTGTTATGAATAATTTGACAGTGCTAATAAATTAGAACAGTCTCTGGCACATTGTGGGTATTTAATAACTGTTGAACACATGAATGAATCAGTGAATAATCGAGTGCAGAATGCAATCATATTGTGGAAACTTTTATCTCACTGTTCATTGGTTTTCCATGTACAGTGTACCTAATAATGCCTTGAGACCATTCATGAAGAGGAATAGAATATGTCTTTTTATTTATGAAATCTCTTTGCAAATATAAATGCCTCTGAAAAGCTTTTCTGCTCAGAATGATTAATGATGTGGATACTGATCGCACGTGGCAGTCGTTTCTTTTTGCCAGAAAGCAGAGGTGATGAAACGTGAGGCCAGCGGGGCCAAGACCAAAGGCCAAATTCCTGTGCAGCTGCCTAGCTTTGCAAGGAAAGAAACTTGGTTTTTGCCAGTCTACCCCGGCCACCCCACCAACTCCAGCCAGCAAGGCACAAATGTGTGCCACTGGAGAGACAGGGAGCTTCCGGGTCCGTGACTGGCCTAGTACAACTTGCATCCCCATGGGGAGAAATAACCCAAATCTCCCTCCAACTGGTGGTAAGGTCGGTCGCAATGTCATCTTTGCCCATGAAAAATAACCTGTTTGGGAAGTGCAGGTCCAAACCATCCTGCAGAATGTAGTGAGTCACGGTGCCCTGTTAGATGGTAGGAAGGCTGATGCTGCTTAGTACAGGGACTTCCTGCTTTGGGCCCTCATCCAAAATTCAAACAGAACCAAATTCTTTTCTCTGAATGGAAAACAAATTCCTCGGAGTGACTACATGCTCAGCCCCTGGTAATACTTGATCCACCCCAGCTGTATTCACCCCAACCTATTTTTAATCTTAACATTTCTTTAAAACAAAAGCAAGCTCCCTGACAATGACTACTTTTTTTTTTTTTGAAGAGAGAGGGAGAGAGACAGGGGGAGGGGCAGAGAGAATCTTAAGCAGGCTCCACACCCAGCACAGAGCCCGCCGCGGGGCCCAGTGTAGGGCTCTCCCTCACAACCCTGAGATCGGGGCCTGAGCCGAAATCCAGAGTCCAACAGTTACCTGACTAAGCCGCCCAGGCGCCCCTGACAGTGACTAATTTACCCCCTCTGTCTCTGAGAACTTAGTGCCAGCACAGCAATGCCTGTTCTGCCCAAGAGGCAGGATGGTATAGAGAAAGCAGAATCTCTGAGAGGAAAACCTCGCTCCAAAAAATGCTGTGTGACTCCCCAGAAAGTCACTTAACTTCTCTGAACCCAAATTTCCTCACTGCTGTAATAGAGATCATAATACTCATTTCCTAGAGGCACTGTGAAGATCAGCTGGGAAGCATGGTGAAATAAGGGCTGTGAAGGAACTTAGTACACAACAAATATTATTGCCTATCTTCTCAGCTTCATTTCTGGATATTGTAAGTCACTGAAACACTGGAATGAGAGCACCCTGGGGAAGAAACTGCTTGTGTAAGGTGTCTCCCCTTCTGCTACCGCCTCCCAAGGATCAGACACGTATTTCTGACAACTGCACACCTCCCCTAGAAGCCACTCCGCAGATCCCTATGGACTCACCCAACCCTGTGTTTCTTCCCATTTTCTCTTCAGTTAATTGCCAAGATCCCCCAATTGTCCCTAACTTTACAGTCTTTCTTACCACCCTCATTGAACTGGCTATCCGGACCTGTCATATTTCCCTCCTAAATATATCTGGACTATCTTTCTATCACTGCGCTCTTTGTTCTGCCTTTTATCCTCTCTTGTCTGAGCTACTGTAATAGCCTCCAAACTGGTCTCCCATCATCCAGATGTCCCTCTTTCTACGACATATTGTGCCATGCTGTCCAAGGTTCTTTTCAAAAATCCCATTCTCATCATGTCACTGTCTTGTTTCAGAGGAATTGTGGCTCCCACTTTGCACATAGGAGAAAGCCTAACTCAGCAGCATTCATGGCTTTGGGCCAAGTGGGTCCACTGGCCTTTTCAGTTATACCTCTGCCACTCTCCCAGTGACCACTGCAGCGAACGTCAAACTCCCTGTACACTGAACACTCTGGGCACTTTCACCCCCTGACCCTTTGCCCAGGTGATCACCTTTGCCTAGAATGCCCTCTCTTTCTCAGCTGATGAACCTCTTCTCAGTCCTTCCAGAGAGCTCTATTTCCTGTGTGAGCCAGCACTCATAGGTGAGGTGTAAATTTTCATGGAACCAGAAGTTCCTCCGGAGAGGTTCCTCATCTTCTCCCTCACTTTCTGGCCTCTCCTGGGACCACCAGAACAGGTGGACATCACACATTCTGTTGGACATCAGATTATTTTGCTTAAGGACTACTCAAATGTTCAACTGTGGATGCCAGGTCCTGGTAGGACCTTCTTCTTAATAAGGTTGATTTTTTAAAAACATTTGTTCAGGGCCCCTGGATGGCTCAGTCGGTTAAGTGTCTGCTTCGGCTCAGGTCATGATCCCAGGATCCTGGGATGGAGTCCTCGGGCTCCCTGCTCTGCTGGGAGTCTGCTTCTCCCTCCCCTTCTGCCCCTCCCCCCTGCTCGTGCTCACACGCTCTCTCTCTCTCAAATAAGTAAATTTTAAAAAACAAAAACACTTGTTCAAAATAGCTTCTTTCCATCAACAAGGAACATGTGTGATTTCCTGTGTAATTACCAGACATTTATAAACCAGAACAGAAACTCTGTTAGCTTGATTGCAGGACTTAAGGAAGCAAAGTGTAATTAGTGTTGGGATGATTCACACCTCGGACCTTGGAACCTGTCCACAAAGGTCCATTGTTTGGCTATCACTCCAGCATAAAATTCCCAAGTAAAATAATCTCAGGATTATAATCGGTAACTTCCTGATTTGGAACTAATAAAGCTGTTTTGAAGATTACATCTTGTCTTTTGAACTCGACCCTTGCATTCTTTAATGCCAGAATATTCCTATGGACCATGGCTGTGTTATAAACAATTAATGCCTTATTTGGGTAAGTGAATTTGACACTTGGGCGGCTTTGGCGCCGTAGCAAAGGTCTGATCGATCCCAAGCTTGTGGACTGACCATTTTATGATTGGATTTTGCTCCCAATATATGTCTAAGTTATATACTGGCCCTCCCGGTCCTAAATCCTTGAGAATTAAGACAATCCTAGGAACTATGGTGTGGAATTTGGGCCGGGAAACAGAGTAGGCCCAGGTGACAGGACATGCCTCAGTCCTTGCTGAGTCTTTCAGGAACTTTTGGGGCCTTGAGGTGACATGGCAGGACTGGCTGAATGGGGCTCAGGGAAGCTGCAGATGACTATTCCTGATGACCTTTCAGTGACCTCCAGTGTTAAGCCATCTTTCGGCTCTTTATGGGCCTGATAGGCTTGTGACTGGGCATCGGCCGGGCCAGACCTCCTCTCTTGAGTGTTAATCACCCTCTAGACCCAGGGTCCCCAATTCCCATGGACTCCTGGGACAGAGCCATGGGGCTCAGACATGGGCCGGACTGGATCTGGAAGAGACAGAAGCTAGAGGCAGGCTCAGCCCTGGGCCCCCTCTGTTCTGTGGTCTCCCTCGCAGAGAAGAGGCATCTAGGAGCATCACTCTGCCCTCTTGATTTTCTTCACTGAGCAAAATAAAACAAAGTAGATAACCTGATTTTCTTTTAATTCTAAAGCAGTGGTTCTCAAAGTGTGAACTCTGGGCTAACAGCTTCAACATCCCTGAGGTGCTTCTTGATAGAGATGCAAGCTTGCCAGCCTCACCTCCACCTACAGATCCAGCAGTGTGTTGGGCAGGGCCCAGCAATCTGCACTTTAATAAGCCTTCTGGGTGTTTCTGCTGCTGCTTGTGTTTGAGAACCACTGATCTAATGAATCTTCATGTTCGGTGCTGCTTTGAGGCAGGACTGGCTTGGACAAACTCATGTCTAAATTCTGCAGGCATCGAAATGGAATACTTCTATCCACTTACAACTGGTTGCTAAATGTAAAATTGTCAGGTTTTTGTAACTGTACATTTGAGGAAGAATAATAAAGGGTGTCAGGCTTCTGAATGGGGGTTTTGACTCATAGTACCGTATGAGTCAATGAGTTGAACTTTCCAAGCATCAGGCCAAAGCCTCCTGTCCACAAAGGGACAAGCATAAAAATAGTTTGGCTGTTTCCAATTGGGACCAAATGGAAACCATCTGGACTCCACCCTCAAGAGGTTGATATAAATCAGCTCAATCTGACCCTTTATTTTGAAACAAGTAGAACTCTTCTACCAAAAACCAAACTCACCCCCAACCAAACACCTTATGATTGTGAAAATAATTATCCAGTGTGGGAAGCTGTTTGTTTGTTTGTTTGTTTGTTTTTACCTGCTTTGTGAATTCTGGAAAGCATGAAAATGGTCTGCTCTGACAATAAGCTGTAAAATAAGTATGTATTAGATACAGGCTTTTCCTACAGGATCCCTGGGGAGACAAAAGACTTTAATGGCTCCCATTGCCTATTGGATTAAGTCCCAACTCTTGGCCTGACTTGCAAAGTCTTCCTTAATGTGACCCACCCTCTTTGCCAAGCCCACCCTCCCACATCCTCTGGTTCCAGCTAAACTTTGTAGGCTTGTGGGCTTGCATTGTTAAGCCCTCTCTCCTCTCTTAAATCCTTTCACCTATAAGTCCTTTCTTTCCACACGTCAACTAGCTCATTCACAGAGCCTTCGCCCCGGTTCCATCCTTGGGGAAGAATGCCTTTCTCGGAACCCAGTGTCCATGTTTGGCCCTTGCCAGATGCTGCCTTGTGTGGCTATTTGTTTTCCTAGGTGTGCATCCTGTTTATAAACTACATTCTGAGCCCCCTTGTTGAGTTGAGTTGTGTTCCCTCCCAAAATTCCTGCGCTGAAGTCCTAACTCCCAGTTCTTCTGAATGTGACCTTATTTGGAAATAAGGTCATGGCACATGTGATTAGTTAAGATGAGGTCATACTGGCCTAGACTGGGCCCCTAATCCAATATGACTGATGTCCTTATAAAAAGGGGAAAATTGGACACAGACGCACACAGGGAGAACGCCTGGGGAACATGAAGCCAAAGGTCCGGGTGATGCATCTCTAAGCCAGGAAACACCAGATTGCCAGCAAACCACCAAAAGCTAGGAGAGAGGCAAGGAACAGATTGTCCCTCAGAACCCCCAGAAGGAACCAACCCTGCCAACATCTTGATCTTGACTTCCAGGGTCCAGGACTGTGACACAACGTATTTCTGTTGTTTAAGGTCAAAAGAGGCAAGTCTGATAGCTTTTGTGCTGGGTTTGTTTGTTTTTTTTTAAGATTTTATTTATGTATTTGACAGAGAGAGACACAGCGAGAGAGGGAACACAAGCAGGGGGAG